CTGGCTATAACATTCTTGTTGCTATATCTTAATATTTAGGAAAGGTGAAAACAAGTTTGAAATTAAGTTATAATCGTATTAATCTATGTCTGCATTAATATTGAGGTCTCTTCCCCACATAAGAAGAAATATACTGTAGAAAACAGGTGATCTTCCCACTGTAGGCCAAATTCTAATCATTGTTACAATGAGATGACTAGGATTGCATGGGTATAAATGAGCAGAATTTCACCCATATGTTTAAAATCTGAGGCTGAATTCTGCAGTCCTTAACCAAGCAAAACTTCTATTGGCATCGGTAACAGTTTTGCTCAACTGAGGACAGCAGAATTTGGCTCTTTGTGTTTTTTTCACCTTCAAAAATATAAATTGCCTTTTCTTCACATGCCTAACCATATCTCCACCCTGCTCTGGATGGCCTGCGTGCCTCTTGCTTTTGTTTCAGATACACAGCTTTTTCCCTCCTCCTCATCTGTCTTCAGAGAAAGCTTGGGGCTGGTAAGAAAGGGTAGCAACTGCTTATGCACAGCCAGCCCTCTGCAGTTGCTCCCTGTGTGCCCCGCACTGCCAGACACCTCGTAATGTCCTTCTCTGCTTCCCCTTCTCCTGCTACTGTTGGCATAATTGCACAAAACAGCTGTTAATCGGGCTTTGTATCATCAGTATAAATGTCAAAACGTGCTGTGACCTCACACAAAGTGTACCTTTTACTGGGTGCTTCACAAAGCGTAATATTCTCCATGCCCCACAAAATCCAGCAGAATCCCCCCACTCCACGCCACAGGGAACAAAGGCATTTTCCAGGTGCTCCATAAGCAATAGTTTCCCCCCAGGTTTTCAGACAATTTTCAAACCTTTGGATTACCCAGATAAGTCAGAGGCTTTTTAAACTCTCTGGATATTTGAATTTTGCAGACTGATCACACAACCAATCCATATTCCAAACAGTATATGGAAAGTCACAGACGTTAAGGTCCAAATGTTATCTGTCAAGCACAGCCCTGAGTAAGGGGTAAAGTAGAGGGGAACTGAGCTACTGTTCCAGCCTTAGAAAGCTCTGTAGACTAGTGTGTGCAGGGAAGAGTACGAGGGGAGGACACGTGCCATGTCCCTACCTACTCCCGACTTCTTTGGAGTGGTTAACATGCACAGGGATGTCCTTGCATGCATGGAAATGCATGGGTTTCTGTATTTGCTAAGCCCAAGGGAAGAGGGTACGCGGGTGTGTGTGTGAGGAGGAAGGCTCTTTACATCCATCTCACCCCTTTGCATTAGTGCAGGGAATGGCCATAGTCTGATCATATAAGTGATATGCTGTCTGGCAATTTAATGCCAAGGGTGATGTCATGCTTTCCTGTGGGGGGAAAAAAAACTGTGGGAGAATTGGGAAACTCCACAAGCTTCTTCAAAATCATGCTGCAGAGGGGAAGGAGAGTTTTGTCACACAGAGTGGGCAGGGGACAGAGACCTACCCTGCTGAAATTTCATGAGCTGCAGAGAAATCCCGTGATTCTCAGGGTACCCACAAGAAATCTGCATGGAGACCCAGGATCGCCCCACTACTCCTTAGGGGCCCTGTATTCCCTTTGGCAGCACAGCTCCCTTAGGAGCCAGGCTCTTATTAGTTCTCTGCCTGTAGATGGGCCCAAAGCCTGTGTGTGTGGAGTGGGACCCTGTGTGAGATAATGATTGAATGTCAGCATTACTTTACCTAGAAATATCCCTGCAGACTTGCAACCGAGAGTGACTCTCCACTGATCTGATCCAAAACCATGGAGACCCAAAAGTGAAGCATCTGCAGACTCGGAGAAATCGTGCCCCTTCAGCCCAGGCCCAGCTCGCTAACAACATTTGGACCAAAGTGGGGGAGGGGAATTCAAATCCTTTCATCATCTGCTTGAGAAAAAATTAAAGTGATACTCTGGCCCCACTTACACCAAAAGGCCCCTTTTTTTGGTAATTGTGCTAGCACCATAAGGAATGACTCCATCCACGCTGAGCAGAAAGGTTTGCCTTATGTGTAATCTGTCCTTAACTGTAGCACTCTAGTCATGCATCCATGTTCTACAATTACCTGATGAAATTTGTGACTCATGAATACTCCTGGGGCCATGCCCCTAATGGCTTCCAAGTGCTATTTAACCTGGCTTATGACAGCCACATATTCCATTTAGTCCTTCCAAGGTCATTTCACTTCTAATGAATACTAATTTCTCCATGCTCAGCCACACTCTTCACCTTTATTGCAGTAACAGACAGATGGTTGCAAACTATTTCTGTTATAATGAAACCTGGTAAAGGGGACTGCATAAAGGCCCAGAAACTAACATCTGCCAAGTAGAAATGGCCTCTGAACTAAGGGTGGAACAAAGTTGTACTGGAAAATGGAGATACTCTAGTGCAGTGTTTCTCCAACAGTGCTACAGAGACTGCTGGTTGCTGGCAGCAGCTGCTTATGTCACAGGGGTGAAACATCCGTCACTCTGTAACCCGTGATCCTTCCAGTTAGTTGTAGCCTGGTCCAGCACTCTTCGAGTAAATGTCCAGCCAGGCTGACATGTAATTTTCCTGTTTGCAGACACAATTTGTGCCTGCAAAAAATGCACCATTTTTTCTCCTGCCCACAAGTGAACTGTGTGGATGCAAATCTTAGTGGCTTCAGACCCAACTACCAAATTTGCGTCTGAAGCATATACAGTAGTTAGACACGTAATTAGTAAGATTTTCACTCATATGATAATTGCAAGTGCAAATGTTGGATGAGTTGTAGGTGAATTTATTTTTTAAAATATGAACAGGGCCATTTCCTTTTCCGTCAACTCCTGGTTCCTACCAATGTTGCTACTGCCTCCTTTGACAGTTCTTAGCTGCCCTCTTTTTGCTATGGCATGAATCCCTAAGCCAGACTTGGCCATATTGGCCATCAAATGCATACAAATGGCTCCGTTCATCCATTTTATCATCTTCTCTGGGGCAGCAAGTCTTGCACAGAAGAATTTTATTTCCTGTAAACCCATTCACTCTTAATTGCTCAAGTGCCTGCAACCTGCTTTTTAAGCATCCTCTGTGTCACTAGCAAGGTTACCAATGTTTCCCTGCTTTCTCCCCCCACCATCCATCCAAGCAAGAACAACTTCCTGTGAGTTCCTCTAGTCGCCATTAACACTGCTCCATAAATCATATTGAGGGTTTTGCACATCCTCAAACCTGCCCATTAGATGAGACACCATCTGCTGTCTAATGCCAAAGGGAGCAGAGTTTCTTTCCCCATATCACCACTCTACAAAACTTTCTAACTTTCCAAAAAAGGGAGTCAGGTGTTTTGGGGGATTGTTTTATCAAGTGCCCATCTTGTTGGTCTCTCTCTTCCCTATCCATAATTACCCTTTTTAGAATGCTTTTATATCCTTGGAGACAAAAATTATATCTTAATGTATACGGTCTCTACTGACTTGCATTGCTCTAGCTTCATGCTGTATTCTCCTTCATCTTCCTCCTAGCCCAATTATTCTGCTCAGCGGGCCTTCTCTCCCATTGCAGAATCCATAGATAGATACATTTACAGGCTTTCATTAGTATTCTTCCTCCTCTCCTTTTTGTTGCCCAAAGTCTGCAGCAGATTAGTACTTACTTCAGCTGTGGGTTGTATCTGGAGCAGTGTCATTAGTTTCAGAGTAACAGCCGTGTTAGTCTGTATTCGCAAAAAGAAAAGGAGTACTTGTGGCACCTTAGAGACTAACCAATTTATTTGAGCATGAGCTTTCGTGAGCTACAGCTCACTGTAGCTCACGAAAGCTCATGCTCAAATAAATTGGTTAGTCTCTAAGGTGCCACAAGTACTCCTTTTCTTTTAGTGTCATTAGTGTTATCCATCCCAGGGATGATGATGATGATGTTATCATTTATTGTTTGCATGACAGTACTACAAGTTAGTAAATGCCAAGATGACTTTCTTGTCTAAGAAGTAGAGCTGGTTGACAATCCTGCGAAAAAATGCCAATTAGTTGAAACAGAATTTTTTTTGCAGGAATTTCTCAACTCTAATTTTTTTTGTAAATGAAAATTGTTGAGACATCATTTTGAAATTGTCATTTTCTAAATGTAAAATTCATTTTTTTCTAGTTCCAATCCACTTTTTGTTTCAAAATTTGTAAAAAACATTTAAATAAAAAATGACTAAAATTGAAACAAATCACTTCAAAATTATCAAAACCAAATTTTTCAATTAACCCAAATCAAAAAATATTGGATTTGTGGGACACAAAGGTTTCTAAAATTGTGACTGTCCTAATTTGGGATAGGAATTTTTTAAAAAATTTCACAGGACAGGAAAACAATTTTGTGCTCAGCCCTACCGAGAAGCAGCTGGACCAAACACAGCTACTTAGGTGACTGTCCATCAAGATTTTACCGTAATTGCTGCTTCTTGGAACCAACAGTGCCCCCCAACACACACACACACATTTCGAACTCTTTTTGTCATGCTGGTAATTTTAAAAATGTAAGTCAATTACCAGAGCAGAAAGTTTGTCACAATGATTTTTATTTAAAAAATGTGGAATATTCACAGCCTGTCAAATCCCTCCTTCAGTGCCAAAAAGCCATGTAAATATAACAGTCCAACCATATTGCCTAGTTGTTGTCTTTGTTCTGAGATTTTCTTAGGAGGTTATAAGGTCCCCATTCTGCTTGCTGTAAAAGTGGAATTTTCTAAACCTCTCTAGTGTGTACCGTCTGTCATGCCTAATAAAGAGGCAGCTGTGACAAAGTTGGCACCTACTATATGCAGGAAATCGCTCTGCTTGCAGCAGTTGGGGAAACAGTGCTTCAAAAAGGCCTTTAATATTCTGCAAACAACTCAATTATTTATAATTGTTTTGTCCTTAGCTGTAAATTAAAGTAATGATCTTTTATAGAGAGAGTTAAAAAGCAGTAGGCAGGTTTTTTCTTGAAATGAATGAAATCTACATAAACACCTGTTTTGTTTTTAAACTTCGTAGGAAATCAATGTGTTGACAGTAGCATTGGTCAATCAAGAGAGAGAGAAAAATTCTGAGAAACGAAGCCAAGGTCTAAGATCAGAGAAAGAGGCGCTGTTAATAGGTAAGACAACTCAGTACTCAGTTCATCACTGCATATAACAACTAGAAAAAAATTATTGTGGAATAAGCAACCTTGAACATTTGACTTAATGGCATTAGAACCTAAAGACTGTGCTGCTTATCATTCCCATGTGTTCACACGGGTTACAGTCAGAACAGCCACATGGAATCAATAGAAACGTTTTGATCATAAGGGATACAGGACCAGTTCGACAAGGCTCACTCGCATGACTAAGCCTTACTCACCTATGAAGACCTACTAATTTTAACATAAACATTTCTTATGCAGGACAAGTTGCAGGATCTGCCTCTATGCTTGTAAGGTGACAATAGATAGAGACTGAATTTACTTGTTCCAGGGTCTCATGGAATAGAACAGTGTGAATGGTGATCTTCCCATTGCACTAACAAAATGGGTGTAAGAGAAAGGAACAGAAACAATATTGAACAAAATAAGGATGCCCTTAACAGTTCCCTTTTTTTTTTTTTTTTTACATTAGGTGACAGTTTACTGACAAGAATAGGTATGGGAAATACCTCAAGGACAGTTAATACTTTAGCATACCTAATGAAAAACTTTAAAGGGAAATTATAGGTAACGGGCATTGGTCCATTCCAGGAAATGAACTATGACTGGCATGACATGATACAGTGGGGATGGATTGTGATATATAAGGTTGTTAGTTTGGGTTCTTTTTAATTTTGGATCAGACATTCCATACATAATTTCGGTCCCAGCATTTGGCTTCCTTTTAACTGTAACTATAAATGAATGCCTTTGATTTATTCATAGATAAATTGAGGTAGATGACTTGGTATATTGGGAATTTTATGTAGAGCTTTTCACCGCTAAGTGACCAGTTATTTGAATCCAGCCCACTTTGGTAATTATCTAAAGTAGTTACCACTTTATGGCTGTCCCATGGCTCATTTGAAGTGAGCATGTGGTCTCAGTCCTGGTCCTAATGGTCAGATGTCCACATCAGACAACCATCATCAGAACTGGTGGTCTTAATGGGAGCCAAGGACTGCATGGGCACGGAAACCCAACATTACTCTTTCCCTTCAAGATCAGGGATGAGGCACATTGGTGATTGGTGGGCGGAGACTTTGCCCTATATCTGCCCATTCTCTAGAAATGTCAATATTTCACAAGCACTAAAATTCACTTAAGAAAAGCTGAGTTACTAAGTTGGTATCATGCATCTCTAGTCAATAATTACAAGCATATTTTTAAGTAGCCTTTTATTTCATTTACATTAATTAAAAATGGGCCATAGGTACAGAAATCAGATCTGGATTTTGAATGCCCCAAAACGGAAGTGTTTGGGTATGAAGTTTTGGTTCAATCTATAACAAAGATGGTGCCATTAGCAAACTGAAGACTGAATACAGGTTTGGATTTCCAACAGATCCAGTCAAAGTTTAGTGGTATTTAGTTTGGGCCCATCTCTGCAATTATTGGCAGAGACCTTGATCCTGCAAAGATTTACACGTGTGCTTATGTTTATACACTGTGGACGGCTATTTCCATTGATTTCCATGGGATGACCCACTATGTAAGTAAGTTTTTGCAGGATCAGGACTAGAATTTGCAAACATAACTGAAAATCTGAAAGAGGAAAAGGAAAGATGTAAAATGAGTTAAGCTTTACTTATCTTTTTCTAGTGTTGCCAGTGTTTGGGAAACGCTGAAACCTAACGGTGATTCTGTTTCAGTCAGTATCAGCAGAGTGGCCTGCAGTTCACAAGACACAGTGACCCATTTTTGTAATTTGTAACCATTTTGCTCTTGCTCTGTTTATGCCTTAAAAATAAAGAACCACCCCCTTAAGGTTTATTAGTTAAGAAACTCGACCAAAGGGAGCTGAAAATATCTTTGAATCTTGCTATTCAACTCTCAGCAAATAGTTAGTGACATGCATGCTGATGACCATTCCATATACCCACTGTTCATATAGAGAAGGAGAAATGGGATAATGCTTTTAATAGCAATGCTGACATCCAACATCCTGCTTTCTCGATTCGTCACTATTATGCTGACACTTGATTTCCACTGCAGGAAAAAAAACTCTAGATTTAGAATCTGACTCCTCCTCAGCCCTTTATTCCCAGACCTTTTAACATGATCTTGTAAATTGCAATGAAGAAAGACAGAGCTTGCTCCCTTTTAAGGAAAAAAAATAAGTAAATATGTCAAGAAGGATTTGTTCTTCTCTCAGCAGCACTTTGGGGTAATGTGGATTAAACACTTATCATAACTAGCAACAGCGTAATTATTAGAAAAATTCAAGGCAATGCAGTTTCTGACACAGTTTATATGAAACATTTCCACAACAGAGCTTCCACTGAAGGGGAAAAAGCAATAATTTTTCCATTCCAATATCTACTATTATATATTGGTAAATCAAGCATAAAATAGGTAATTGAAATGTTTCCAGCAAGTCTTTGTTTAGAAATCCCTTTATTCATCTGTATATTACCTTGGCCACTTACTTGCTAACTGCTGTCATTTCTGAAGATGAGCGATTGTGTTTATCATGTTACTATGGCTGTGTTAAAAATGTACTGTTCTCTTTTGTTTGTTGAACTGTGTAAGAAATATAAGAATCGTAATGCAGACTGAAAAACTTGCAATGACTTATTCAGAACTACTGTGTTTAGACATACGATATATTGCCTCAGGTAATTTCAATACCTGGTGTGTTTGTTTTAATACAGGTATCATATCCACATTTCTTCATGTCCATCCTTTCGGCGCCAATATAGAATACCTTTGGTCTTACATGCAGCAACTGGACTCTAGGGTAAACAATGTTAATCAAAGTCTGGTTTCTTTATAGAACTTTTGTTTTGTTCTTTACTGCATGTTAAACTCGGCGTGAGTGTCCATTAGAGAGGTAATGGGATGTGGGGCTTGCGGGTTCGCAGTCTTCGTTCATTCGCAAATTACGTTGCACACATGTACCTGAGGTCTTTTGCCTTTCATTACTTTGCTGTGCTTTTGTGGCAATGAAAGCTGTTGTATTACATGGCAAAGACTACCACGCTGATTCTAGGAAACATGATTCTTATTTACTTCATGTAATATGTAGGAAATAAATTAAGATGTAGGTTTAGCTCTGGCCACCAAAAGGAGAGAGGATGGCCAGACAGAGACCTTTTCTTGGGACTGTGCCTCTTAGAGAGCCTTGTACCCTGCAATGCGTCCCTCACCTTACCCTGATGCTGCCCCTCAGAGCTGAGAATGCTCTTGATACTTGGATCAGTGAGCCCTCTGTGCACTTTGGAGCATGAATTATGCAGTACAAATGGAGAGTGGAGTATAAAGGACTGACAGGGCTGCAGGCCCTATCAGAGGAGCCACAGAAGTGGTCACCACCTCAGGCTATAGCATGCAGATGGACCAGGGGAAGAGACTACAGTAAGATAGATAATACACTGTCTCTCTTTTCACTTCATCCTATCCACATAATCGACACTGTGCTTATGAAAAATATTCTTTGCTCACTGGCTAAATGTGGTGATGCCTGTGTCAATGCAACAAAAGTCTGATTACATAAATGAAATTCATATTCCTATTATCTCTTCCTCTGGTCAGTATAACTTGGTTCTAAATAAACCCTTTCATTCTGAAGTAAGGAGTTAAATACTGGCCATGGTGTGGCTATAAAATACAAGCAGACATTAGGCACTTAACAATGATTTGCATATGTGGTTGTTGAGATACAAGTAACTAGTTACATACTATGGGTCAAATCCTGCACCCCTTATACTATTGACTTCAACTGACTGCAATAACCTCCCACTTCCTGTCCTCCTGGACTCTCCCCTCTTCAATCTATCTAACATTCGGACTGTAGCCCAGCTAACGTTCCTTTCCTTCTGCTCTGACTATGCCACCCCTCCCTAGAACCCTTTCGTGGTCTCCATGCAAAATAGTGCAAGGTAGAGAGTAGTGGAGATGCCTTAGCAAGAGCCCCATTAGTGTGAGAGAGAAGGGGGAGCTGGCAGGGCCCTGAGCCTTTGCAACTCGCTTCCTGCCATAACAGCCTGTTTGTCAGCGCATCACAGGCCATCATTTTTCTCTTGTCCTGAAGGAGATGGGTGCAGGGTAGGGCTGGGTAACTGGATGGCTGTGTTTTCATTGCAGGGTTGTACAAATCCGAGTGATGACGTATTTCTTTCTGTATTGAGTTCAAATTCCTGGTCCTGACTTCCAAGACACTTAGATCTCAGCCCCTTCTCTCCCCCACACTCCTCACCTAATGCTGTGCTCGGATGCTCCATATCTTCTCGCAGTCACGCTTTTGTGCCTCTTTTCACGCTGTTCCAAATCTCTGGCACATACTCGCTCTGCCAGTCAGCCGAGCGTCCTCACGCATCTTTCAAATCCCTTTGTAATACCCACTGCTTTTGATTAGGTTTCAACTGCTGTCCTCTCCCAGGGTTGGCCACTCCTGCTTAATTATCAATATTTAAAATACAGGCTCTGTGTGCCACATACCACAGTTCAGACTGGTATTTGTTGTACCCCTTATGCCTCTTTTCCGTCTCTCACTTGCCGGTTGGAATCATTTCCTGTGTTTAATTCAGGCCAAGTGCTGCAACCTTTACTCACACAAATTGTCTCATGGACTTCACTGGGAGCATTCACACGAGTAAGGGCGGCAGGGTCAGACACTTAGGTTGTAAACTCCTCGTGGAATGGACCTTCATCTCTCTCCCTTTCTGTAAAGGGCTGTTTAAATTTGCAGGGCTACATCAGTGCCAGATAATAAATGTGGACTGCAGGATTTGGCCAGATGAGCTTACTTCTGAAGTGACTGACAGTAGTAACCAATTACTTTTTAATAACGTGATCCTGAGATGTAATCTCAAAGATTAATTTCATTTACTTTCCATGGATACCTTGTCATTACTAACCTAAGCAGGAATGATCATGTCATAGTACCCAGGTTGGCTGCAGCCTCACTGTGCAATTCACACGTTACCCAAAAGTAACTTGTTATCAATTACTCTGATGAGAAGTAAGAAAAATATGTAGCAGATTTCGTTTTGGCTGTAGATTGATTGGCCCTTACACTGACTCTCTCTGGCACTTTTCTGCAAATCACTTAAACTCTGCCTCAGTCTCCCCTTTGGGAAAATAAAGGGGTATGGCTAATATTTTCTTATCTTGCTGGGGTGGCGTGGTGAGGCTTAATTTGTGTACTTCCTGTTGGTAAAGTGCTTTGAAAATGAACAATACTCCCATAGTCGTGTGCTAGGAGTGTTAGTAAATAGATTTGTAATAAACCTGTTGTCCACAGAACTGGAGGATACTGCTGTGAATAACAAATCTATTGCGCAGGAAGCAGCAGCAGTACACATTTCCCCATTATTTTTTGTATTATGATCGTGCCCAGAGGCCCCCATCAGTATTCAAGCTCCTTTGGGCTAAATGCTGTACAAACACACAGGAAGACACAACCACTGCACACAAGGAGTTTACAGTCTAAAAAGACAAAGACCAATGGTGGGAAGAAGTGGGACAGAATACAAGCAGAGTGATCAGGGGGGACAGCAGGTTTTGAGAGTCCCAGTTTTTTGAGTGCCCAGAAGTGGGACTGGACGATGGGATGGATCACCCAATAAATTGCCATGTTCTGTTCATTCCCTATGAAGCACCTGGCATTGGCCACTGTCAGAAGACAGGATACTGGGCTAGATGGACCATTGGTCTGACCCAGTACGGCTGTTCTTATGGTGTCTATTTTATTGGTGGTATCTGAGGGAAAGAAGCTGAATTTATACTGCACTTCACTATTCTAATATAATTTTAATTTATTTTTGCCCATTTTCATTTTTTAAAATACATATTTTACCTTATTAATTATTCTTGTCTATTCAGATTTTATTTTCTCCTATACCATGTGCCTTACCACTGACCCAGAATAGACACCTGGAGGACCAAGATGGAACAGTTTCCATGGTCATTCTGTTTTTGGCCTCTTCGCTGATTCTGTAAGGGAACCACTGTCGTGGTGATTTTTGTTTTTTGGGTGATGATGGGCACATCTTTCGTACTAGAAACTTGACTGAGGTGACCTGCTCACATAGCTCACCAAATGTACAAAGATTTTGAGTGACATGGAGGCAGAAACAATGCCTCCTAGAGCTCTGGGACTGCTGCCAAATCTCAGGCAGTGTACCATAGAGCTCTTAACCTGCAGGGGACCAGCTGTCACTGTGCCTCAGTGGGTCACAGCTGAGAATGCCAGGTTCATGACAAACAGCTGAGAAATAGGGCAGACTCACCCCAAACTGGTGGTTATTCCATTATTAAATTATACCAAGCCAGTAACAAAAGTAAACTTCTGTCTCACCACACTGGTTAACAAGAAGTCAGAAATGCAGTCTCCTTAGGCATTCCAGCCCTTGTTTCACCACCCAGACACTGGACTCTATGATGAGTGGTTACTGAAAACCAATTTCATCACATATAGGGTTCTCTAATCCCAAGAGATCAGCCACATAGCCAGGTCAGTATATAACTCAGATCTTACCCAATAATCATGCTGTTGCCAATCCTTTAGTATCTAATATCTAATGGCTTATTTATAAGAGAAAAGAAAGAGGAGAGAATTAAAATGGTCAAAGAAATCATATACATACAATCATTGCAAAGTTCTTGGATCAGGTTTGTAACAGTGATGTTACAGATTTATGGCTTGCAAAGTCTCTTGGAACTTCCAAAAGATTGGAAGGTCCTCAGTCTATAGTCAATATGCTCCTTTTAGTGTAAATCCATAGTCCAAAGATCAGAGCAGGAAAGAGACAAAATGGTGATGCTTTCAGGGTCCTTTATACCCTCTCCCATGTGGAGGGACTGCTCTGAGTCTTAGTTTGTGGAAAATAACAGGCACAAGATGGAGTCCAGGGTCATATGAGCAAGTCACATGCACTTGCATGCTTTCATAGGAGCAACCATTACCCATATTCTGGTTAAAGCATCCACAGGAAGGCTCACCGGGTGCTTCTATGGCCCATTGTGAGAGTTACGTGTTCTTTAATGGGCCATCAACTTGAATGGGCTATTCACAATGTGCTGGCTAGACTGGATTAACCTTCCTTCTCGGTGTTACTATAGGAGCAAACACATTTGAAATACTGGTACATAGTCAATATTCATAACTTTAGACACACAGATGATACATGCATACAAACAGGATAATCATATTTGATAAATTGTAACTTTTCCATTGATACCTTACATGACATACTTTGTATACAGTTTGGTGTAATTGTCTAACAGTGGCAATATTAATGACATAAATGGTAATATTTCAATCATACAGGATCACACCAGCTCCTCTTGCCAGTGTGGAGAAGGCCCTGGCCCACTGTGACCATTAGCCCTGTAGAGTCCTTGTGCTCAAGAGAGCTCAGGGACCAGGACTGCGGCCCTGTCCTCGCACACCACTTGCATGCCCACACAGGGTTCAGTGCAATCTGGCCCTTAATGGTTACCTGCTAAATTTAACCATAGTTTATGAAGTAAACTATTTTAAATACTGCTTCTACATTTTAGCTTAGCTGAAAGTGACCAACCAAACCTTTACCAAGGAAGGCTTATTTAATCAAAAATGTGGAAACCAAAAAGTAAAATTAATATTTTATGTTTTTTTGAAGAAAATTAGAGTGCTGAACCTCAAGACCAGTTAAAGTATATACACTTCTTAGAGAGACTAAAGTAAATGTTATGCAATGATAACAGCCTAGCAGTGGTATCTCTTCCGGTTATATATTGTTGTTCTTTTATAATGCCAGTCCAGGTACAAAAAGCAAGACCCATGCTGCAGGGAATTTACATTTGTGTTAGAGTCAGGAGATTCAGATGTATGGAGTTAATGTTAACAAAAGGGCTGACCACTAGCATACCATTAATTTAGTACAAAGCTGCAGGGTTTATTTATAGGACAGTCCCATAATAAAGAGGGCAACACTGCCTGATTAGCATGTATCTACTGCATCTTAGAGCAATTCTGCAAACAAGCTGATAATATGGTTGAGTTTGTTCTCACTTCCACCTGTGCACATCAGAAATAACTGCAGGTAGTGATGTATAAATAGGGTGAATGAGCTCAGAATCAGATTCAGTGTCTGGATGTCATAGCTTACCATGGCATAGATTTTGGGTAATACCAGAGGGTGTGGACGATTCTCCACATGCAATATAGGGAGCATTCCATGCGCTTTCTACTAGCTTGTGGCCATGAACAAGGTGCTGTCCAGAACCCCATTGGCGAAGATAGGCCATTTAGGGGTAGGAGGAGGGATTATGTGATGGGAGGAGGAACAATGGTGGAAGTTCAGTAGACTGCATTGTCTTTAAGGGCAGGCTAGCTGCTATACTCGTCTGTACTGTGTGGGATTCTCTTCGAGGAGCTCTGGTGACTATGCAAGTCCCCTTCATGCTTCCTCTTCCAGGCCCAATGGTACAAAGGGCAGGCACAACCTATCCTTCCCTGACCCTACCCCAAGTAATATTTCTTCCAGAACTGAATTTCTGAGAAATGTCTAAACTGAGTAAGAGGCCACTGAACTAGGACAAGAAGCAATGGGCTTAATCTGCAGCAAGGGAGATTTGGATATTAGGAAAAACTTTCTAACTACAAGGGTAGTTACGCTCTGGAATAGGCTGCTGGAATCCCCTCACTGGAAGTTGAAGACCAGGTTGGATAAGAAGTTGAAGAACAGGTTCTGGGATGGTCTAGGTTTCCTTGGTCCTGCCTCAGCGCAGGGAGCTGGACTTGATGACCTCCTGAGGTCCCTTCCAGCCCTACATTTCAATGATTCTATACCATAGTGGGAATATGGATCTATCTGTAGATGGCATAAAATGTTATAAACTCTCAAAAAGAAATGCTGGGGTATTTAGTTGACCTAGAAAATGTTTCTTCTACGTGTATTCTCTAAATTTCCTATTTCTTAAATATAACCCAATTGTTTCTCACTGTATTTTTGCTTTTCCCTCTCTTTCACAGATCTCTGCAAATGAAATAGAAATGCTTTTGATGAGATTGCCACGCATGTTTAAACAAGAGTTCACTGGTGTAGGAGCAACATTGGAAAAGAGGTGGAAGTTTTGTGCCTTTGAAGGAATTAAAACTACCTGACTGTGAATAGTAAAGAGGTATGCAGAAGAAGAATTCCTAAAGCATGGCAGGGTTACAAAGTATTAAAGTATGAAATTTGGTTTTGGCACACGGACGTACATTTTCAGAGTTATCCAAGCCTAATTTTAGTTACATTTGTGACGTTCTCTTGTGAGTGGAAATGTGGTTGTGCACCAGCTCCTAAAAATAAAAATATAAAATATTTTAAAATGTGACCTATGAAAACTGAAGATACCACTGAAGACAGTCATAACGATGTCAAGATATTAACATGCTACATCTAAGAATAGCTCACTGAGCAAATGGATAAGGGAAAAGATTGCCTAGTTATGGTTGCTAAGCTACAGCAATGTATATGTAATATATAGCAGAAATCATTACGTTATGTTCCTGAAAGTCTTTCCATTAAGTAAGTAATTGTACAGTGAGAAAAATTATCCCAAAAGAAAACTTGAAGATGTGTCTAAACAGTTATTGTCTTTTGTAAATTACGTTTTATGCTGTTCCAGGGATTTTTGCCTTATTGAAAGAGGCCTGAAAATGTGATTGGACTCCTCGAGAATGCTTTATCAAGAATATTATTTTTCTAATGTAACTATTCCTCATTATAAGTTCCTTTAACATGGGTTGCATATCAATTTTCATAAATGTGTAAATAAAAAAGAAACCAGTGTTACTGTATTGTATTTGGTATGTAACATTCAGGTTTATGCATCAAAATAAATATTCAGTTCATTACTGTTGAGGATTTTATAGCAAATATATTAATTTTTTTTCAATAAATTTGACTTCTACCAGATTATTTTTACAAGTTGTTCTTCTGATGTTTCTGAATTGTTACAAATCCAAAAGGTGTCCGTCACTGTTTGCCCTCCTTCCACCAAAGCCAGCTATTGCAAACCTCCCGATGAAATGTGTTGAGTACTGAATCAAAGAAGAGACTGTAATATTAGATTAAATCAAAGGAATTAAAATTAGCACCAAAGGAAGCTCCAAGGTGAAGATTGTGCTTTTACAAACTGAACAGATTTCATTTTGTTTTAAACATATCTAGCCAAGCAGCAAGGTATTTAAACAAACAAAAACAAAGCCAGGTTTCAGAATAACAGCCGTGTTAGTCTGTATTCGCAAAAAGAAAAGGAGTACTTGTGGCACCTTAGAGACTAACCAATTTATTTGAGCATAAGCTTTCGTGAGCTACAGCAGATGCATCCGATGAAGTGAGCTGTAGCTCACGAAAGCTTATGCTCAAATAAATTGGTTAGTCTCTAAGGTGCCACAAGTACTCCTTTTCTTTTTGCAAAAACAAAGCCATACATTTCACATTTTGCAGTGTTTTGTTGTGCAGCTACAATGCAACCTTGGTGCTTGAGGCAGAGTACAAAGTGCCCACTTGAAAATGAAGTGCATTTTACACTAACAAAGTATTTGTTGTTTACTGAAAACTGTGTTATCCCCTGCCACACTGTGTTCTTCTAATGTGAACTCATGCGCTGTTGCATAGTGAAACCCAATTGTTTAATGAAATGTGTATCTCAGACTTAACTTTCATGTTCTCAACTCCCATGCCATCATACTCACTTAGGAATAGCTAGGCTCAGATTTAGTGAACATCCCATACAAAGCCACACTACATTTGGTTTTCATGTACAGTAAATATTATGCAGTCTAAAGCTGAAAACACTTATGCAAAAGCATTTGAGATTGTTTAACTAACTCAAAACTGTAGTCATGTAATTTTTCCCCTTTTTAATCAATAATAGTTTTGAGCATAAAGATTTCTATAGTAAAAAAATGTCCTGTGCTGATCTTTTTTGCACTTCCATTAGTATCCCTAGTCAGCTGTATGACTGGCTCTTATTTATCATATGCTACCCTTCTCATGCCTGAAATGGGAGTGTCACAGATGCATCTAGTTGTTTGATAGCTTGTTGCGTATGTGGCTTTTACCAGCTATTTTCTATGCAGTGGCATAATATCTGCTTTTTTCCTCTTCCATTGTGCACAACAGTGTGGGGATGCCTACCGATATTGCCCTAATTTTGTCCCCCAAAGGCTAGCTTCACAAAGGGGACCTTGGCATTGCAATGCCTAAATATTAGGCACCCTGCCACATAGTGGCATTCACAGCCCTGAGCTAAGCAGCCAGGCTCCTGTACAATGCATGGGCAAAGTTAAGCACCTAAAAATTGGATTCACAGACACCAGCAAGCTGAGCAGGATGCCATCTAAGCTAGCCAATAGGAAATGCCATGTTCCTCAAATGGAGTTAAGGTGCCTAACTGCAGGCTGGAGCACTTCTTCCATTTGGGATTCTCAGCCATGAACTCGCTCTCCTAGACTTTGGCAGCTAGGCCAGGTCAGTCCTTTGTCATAAAAAAGCATGGAGGAAAGTGATTGTGATGTCTCTTGTGGTACCCAGAACTGTGAGTCACACTGTGACACCCGCCTCCCTCCCCTCTCTCCCCCCGCTAGCACCTCAAGCACTCTCTTCTGGGCTTCACCAACCCTCACTTTGTCTTGCAGGCTATCAATAGGTGTCCTCCAACCCCTGAGTCCCTTTGAAGCATTCCCCTGTGATAACCAGCCCCTGGCTTTGGCTGCTCACAGAACTAACAAGCTTCCTGTTCCTAAAGGACCAGTATACACACCAGCTTGTAAGATTCAGCTCAGGACTAGCACTTTGCTTAACACCACAGCACTGAGATATAGTTATAGTGCAAACAAGAAGAAGTTTATTATCAAAGTCTTGAGAGTCAGGAGATAGGAAGGATATTGGAACCAAATGGTTACATATCAAACATCATAACGCACTTTTCTAGAGACTAAGCCAGTTAATGCCCTAAAGAAGATTAGCTCATCCAAACATTGCAATATTTTCAATCAAGATTGGCCGAGAGCCCATTTTTATTAATGTAAATGCACTACCCATCTACTTCCTAAGTGCTGGATGGGCGGGGGTCTTTTTTGGCTGGCTACATATACTCCTGAAGTTTGTTGTCTGTACTCAGAGACAGGATAACCTCCATGGTTTGTTTTCCATATGTGCTGTTTCCCTGTTAATTTCAGAGCTCTTTGTTAACATCTGACTTTGTATGTAAATGGACATCCATTGTGTTAGCTTGCAAAGCTTCATTTACATCCCACCAGAGAGCTATACCTATCTTATCTCCTTCCCGGTGGGCAACCTGTTTTTCACCTGTGCCTTGATACAGACCCTCAAACATATTTGCAGTATATATACACCTAACTCCTTCCATAGTATCTGTACATACATTTCACAATGTTAGCAATGAGACAACCCCCCACCCAGCTTCTATTTAAGACCTCACACGATATTCTTTAGTCAACCAGAATATTCATACCAGAATCAGGACATTCCTGTTAACCCCTTGCCAGTTGGCATTAAGATGTAGTTGGGTCACAGTGGTGGTGACTCTCCTCCCCCACACAATTTATACCTAATAGTTTGAGTACTCACTGGGATGTGGGAGACATAGGTTCAAATACCACTCTGCCTGATTGGCCTATAGGACTCAAGCTTAGGGGGCTGTTTAAGTGCAGTGTAGATGTTCAGTCTTGGGCTGCAGCCTGGGCTCTGGGACCTTCCCACCTCGCAGGGTCCTAGAGCCCAGGCTGCAGCCTGAGCCCGAATGTCTACACTGCAATTAAACAGTCCCTGAGTCCAAGCCCTGTGAGCCTGTGTCAGCTGGCATAGGCCAGCCGCAGGTGTTTAGCTGCATTGTAGTCATACCCATAGTGCACTTGGATTTTTCACAAGGTCCCTCACCAAATGCTCTTAAGCAAAGTAAGCAGTCATGGGATAAGAGGGAAGGTCCTCGCCTGAATCAATATCTGGTTAAAAGATAAGAACCAAAGGGTAGGAATAAATGGTCAGTTTTCACAATGGAGAGAGGCCCCACAAGATCTGTACTGGGACCTGTGCTGTTCAGTGTATTCAGCAATGATCTGCAAAGAGAGTGAAAGGTAACGTGGCAAAGTTTGCAGTGGATACAAAATTATACAATAGTTAAATCCAAAGCTGACTGCAAAGATAGGCATCTCACTAAACTGGGTGACTGGACAAGAAAATGGCAGATGAAATTCAGCATTGATAAGTGCAAAGGAAAAATAATCCCAACTACACACATTGGTTTTTGCCAGTGGGTGCCCCATCCCGGCTCCGCCCCCTTCCCCAAGGCCCCGCCCTCACTCTGCCCCACTCCATCTCTTCCTGCCCCCGCTCTGCCCCCTCCCCTTACGTCCTGTCCCCTGAGCATCTCCTGCCCACTGCTCACTCCTTTCTGCCTCGCCTGTCTTGAAGGCGAGGTGTGTGTGTTTGGGGGGGGAGCTCAGCCTCCCCCCAAAACTGGCAATTTTCAGCATATTTATACACATCTTTCATATTCTGGTTTTGAATGTGTGTCTATCATTGGCATCGTAACAATGTAATCATTATTAAAATAGTAATGAAATATATCATTACATTATCATGAATGTATAGTAAAATCATTACAATCAGCTACAAGCTGTCTTCACTAACATCCCAGTTTAAAGACATTATGCTTGCTCTGGGCTTCACAGCTGCTTAGGCCCTGTTTGGGAGCTGAGGGCCACTGATGGCTGTGGGAAGAAGGTGGATGGGAGGGACAAGCAGTGGAGAATCTTTCCCCTCTCCCTGCCCCTTTCTCCTCTCCCTTCCTTTCGCTCTCCCTGCCCCTTTTCCTTTCTCTTGTTTCTTCCCTAAGTCCTTGCTCCCCTTCCTGATGTTCCCCCCTTCTTGCTTCCCACCCATGTCCCTTTTCCCATCTCTCTCTGCTCCCCGTCTCCTGGTGGCTCTGTCCAGTGCCTGCTCCCACCCACACACTCAAAGTGGCAGAGGAGGTTCCCCCTCCTTGTGTGGGAAGGTTGCCTAGTGGTTAAGGCACAGGCCTCGGGCTCAGGTGTTCTGGGTTTGATTGTCTGCTTTGCCACAGACTCCCTGCTTAGCCTTGGGAAAGTCACTTCACCTCTGTGTGCCCTCGATCCCACATGCCAAATGGGGCTAATGCTGACCCTGCCTCCTAGACTAAATCCATTCATGGCTGTGTGATGATGGGGGAAATGGAGATAACACAGTGGGTAGATTTGGGCTGAATTTCTCCACAGCCTGAGAGTGAAAGCCAGCTCCTCACAGGGTGGATGGGCGAGAGTTTGGCTAAAGCATATATTCCAGAAAGCCATCAAACGCTGGAGAATCCACCACTCCCCTTGGTAGGCTGTTCCAGCAGATAATCAACCTCACCGTAAAAAAAGTATATCTAATTTCTAATTGGAATTTGTCTGGCTTCAGTTTCCAGCCACTTGTTCCCCTTATGCCTTTCTCTGCTAGATTAAAGAGCCCTTTACTTACACACTCTAATCAAGTCACCTCTCACTCTTCTTTTTGATTAAATAAATTGAGCTCTTTCACTGTAAGGCATTTTCTCCAGCCCTCAAATCATTTTTGTGGCTCTTTTCTGGCCCCTCTCCAATTTTTCAACATCATTTTAAAAATATGGACACCAGAACTGTACTCAGTATTTCACCAATGCGTTACAGAAGTAAAAACTCATCTCCTTACTCCTACTACTCTTCTGTCTCTTATTCTTAAGAAACTAGCATCTTTTCACAAATGTCAATAGTGTAATTCAAAGAAATAGCTATTAGATCATCTCGCGTATTTGACTGAGCATACCTTATTCCCCTGAACAATATGCATGTGTAGACTGAATTTCTCCTGAAGCCAACGTTAGTTTTGCCTGTGTAAGGGCTAAGAATGGC